ACGGGGTACAATTTATGTTAGTGGTCTAATATCCTTGAACTTTTTTTTTAATTATTTTTTTGTATGTTTTTGGTAACAAGAAGCGGAACAAAATGTATCATACTTTATAAAGCATATTGTGGACCAAAAAAGAAAAATACTTGAAAGAAAAAGGAAAAGATTATTCAGAAACCACAACAGCTAGCTCCAGTGGCACTTTTATAGGCATGCTTATTTTGTTTTTCTTTTTTCCTCCTGCTCTTTGATCTGAAAAAGGGCACATTGTTCCATTGATGATTGAACCACGATGTGGAAGTGGTAAATGAGACCATAAAATGGCCCTCCTCTTTTTAATGCCTTCTTTTTTCTTCTTATTCTTCTCTTTTCTTTTGTGCTGTCCCGTACAGTCTTCCACCTAAAAAGCAGAGGGCCCCAAATTATCTTCTTTTTTTTGGTTGGCTCACAAGTTAAAAACCATGACAATGATCCCTTAACAAATATGATAATTGGACAATAGTGTATAAATTCACATGAAACAGTCAATAACATTAGAATTCCACACATCAAATTCATGGTTATTGATTAGCATAGATAGGGATACACACAAAAGATTGATAAGTTCTTGAAAAAAAAAATTACATCCAAGGATCTATATCTTAAGGAAAAAAAATTAGATGAAAGAATTAAAACAAAGTTTTAGTTGTTTTCAGGGACCAAAGTCATTATTGATTTGTTTTTAGACAAAAAAATGCTTTAGAATTTTAAGAAAATTATGATTTTAAATAATTTTGTAGTTTCATTTCTAAAGTTTAAAAATAATTCTCTTATAAATAACCTGTAAAACTTGACTTTAGTCATTAGAAATAAACATGACATTAAAGACCTTTCAAACAAAGTTTTCTAACATTGGGGTCCTCAGATACAATTTTCCCTAATTAAACTCTTCCTTCCAAGTGTGTGGCTCCATAAATTTCACAAGTCATAACAGTTTAGGGGGGTCTGGGTCACCATAGATTAAACTAGTACAAATGATTTGTCATAAGCATCAACATATGCCATGAATTTAGCTATTTTTTGTCCATTTCCAAACAATTATGAGCTTCTTCTGTTTCCATAATTTATTGGGTTGTTAAGCAAGCATAGTCTCCCATGTCATGTTCCAAGCAAGACAAAAGGAAGAGAACAAATAACAAGACTTCAAAAATATCCAATTCAATATCTATAACATGATTTTTCTCGGTAATAAAAAACAAAGCACAACCAGACTACTTTCCATGCAGATTCTGGTTTATCCACTAGTTGTGCAAGAGGGGTTATCAAAATTAGACAATAGATAGTTTTCTTCAAAGCAAACGACACCAGAAGGGATTAAAAACGACAATTGCACTAAAGGAAACTGGTGACAGTATTGAAAGCCTCAGAATCTCCTTTTTGGTGACTGAGATGCGTTAAAGCTATCATCAATGAACCTCTCTTGTACATGAAAAGAAGGTAAAGGGGAAAGCTTGTTGCTTGCTAGCCTACAAAGTGAGACTCTGACTAATTGCTTGCTCATGTTGAAATTTGACCAAGTCAAATCCAGTTCCAAAAGGGAATTAGCTCAGATTATGTACTAGGATCTTATCTGTCTAATCTATTCCTAATTTCCGGTCTCTATATATCTGTATAAATTTTCTCAATCATGAACAATCTTTTCTTGATATCTGTACGGTACTTTCCTGTTTCTGGTGCTTGTTATTATTATTAATACAGTTTTGTCATTTTCTAATAATTCTGGCACATTCATTTTTTGTAATGTTAATCACGCGGTGCTTAGATTCCAAAATCAGTTCTGAAAGCTTCAAATATGGACCACAGGATAAAGATAAAGAATGAAAGAGTGATACCTGCACCTTTCAAAAGTCATATGATTATTGCAGGAAAGAACAGGAAATCATTGGCTAATTTGAATTTGATTAGGCCTTTGGAGCTGAACTGTATGCAACATTTTTATTTTTTTATCACTTCACTTACGGGCAACTTCGCCTATGTTTATAGCCGGTCTCAAGCCTGGGTAAAGGAGGAGGGTTGTGTTAGCCATCAACAGCCAATGTAAAACTTTGTTGAATCTATCATGAACATGGACAATAGACGTTATAATGTTAATGCTAGGTCGTTGCCCGTAAGTAACGCATTGCATGGCTCGAGTACAGTGATAAGTGAGTTAGAGCCGCTGCATCGGCGCTCGGATGTAGTGTTAAATGAGCAAAGGCTACCGTGTCATTCTGGACGCACGCGGCTAAAGAAGTTAGTCCATGAGAGCAAAATTAGATTTGGTACTTGGAATGTTGGGACATTGAATTGTAAATCTGTAGAGATTGTAGGGGTTATGATTCAAAGGAAAATCAATATCCTTTGCCTGCAAGAAACAAAATGGTATGGAGAAGAAGCTAAGGATATTCAAGGTTTTAAATTTTGGTATACAGGAAAAGTAAGTGCACGCAATGGAGTTGGCATCATTATAGATAAGGAGTGGAAGAAGAACGTTGTAGAAGTTAGCAGAATTGGAGACAGAATTATTTCCTTAAAAATGATAATTGGACGTGAGATTGTTAATATTGTTAGCGCTTATGCGCCGCAAGTCGGGACAGAAGTCAGTCTTAAGGAATTATTTTGGAGGATTTGGAGGGGTTGATTCGACACATACCACAGAGTGAAAAGATTTTTATTGGAGGAGACTTTAATGGGCATGTTGGGAGGGATGCTGGTCAGTACGCGAGGGTGCATGGTGGTTTTGGTTTTGGAGAGCTAAACAATGAAGGACAAACTCTTCTTGATTTCTCATTGGCGTATGATTTTAAGATTGCCAACACTTGTTTCAAGAAGAGAGATGAGCATCTCATCACTTACAAAAGTGGAGCCTCGAGGTCACAGATTGACTTTCTTTTGGTTGGGAACACAGATAGAAGACTTTGTAAAAATTGCAAGGTGATCCCCGGAGATGTGTAACGACACAACATAGGGTCCTAGTCCTTGATGTGTGTATTATGAGTAAAATCAAAAACGTCGACAAGTAGTAGCACCAAGGATTAGGTGGTGGCAATTAAAAGGTGAGAAGCAAGATATTTTCAAGCGAAATCTTTTGGATAAAAGGAATTTGGGAATCTCAGGGAAATGCTAACATCATGTGGGAGGATATGGCTAAAAAGATACGGGAGGTTGCAAAAGTAGTTTTGGGAGAATCAAAAGGTTCTGGTCCGAGAGATAAGGAGTCTTGGTGGTGGAATAATAGTGTACATGAAAAATCAAGTATAAGAAGAACTGTTTTAAAGCCATACATTTGTGTAACAATGAGAAAAATTGGGAGAGGTACCGCATGGCTAAGAAGGAAACTAAAAGAGCTGTGGGTGAAGCTCGTTCTAAAGCTTTTGAAGAATTTTATAAGAGCCTTGAGACGAAGGAAGGAGAGCGAAATATTTATAAGATTGCCAAGAGTAGGGAAAGAAAATCAAGAGATCTAGAACAGGTAAGGTGTATTAAGGATGAAGAGGGAAGAACTTTAGTTACAGATGATGAAATTAAAAATAGATGGGAGACTTACTTTTCTAAAATTTTCAATGATGGAGAGGGTTCATCTAGTAACTTGGAGGATTTAGTAACTGGTGAAGGAGAACAAAATTTGTCATTCTATCGAATAATACGTGATAAGGAGGTAAAGGAAGCTTTTAAGAAAATGCAAATGGTAGAGCCAACGGACCTGATTGTATATCTATCGAAGCGTGGAAATGTTTAGGTGAAGAAGGGGTGAGATGGTTAACTAAGTTATTTAATGTGATTTTACGGTCCAAGAAAATGCCTGATGAGTGGAGGAGAAGTACATTAATTCCTATTTATAAAAATAAAGGAGATATTCAGAATTGTACTAACTATAGAGGGATTAAACTCATGAGCCACACAATGAAATTGTGGGAGAAAGTAATTGAGCACAGGTTGAGATTGGAGACAAGTATTTCTGAGAATCAGTTTGGTTTTATGCCAGGTAGATCAACTACAGAGGCGATTTATCTACTAAGGGGATTAATGAAAAGTATCGTTGTAAAGATAAAGATTACACATGGTTTTTATTGATTTGAAAAAGCTTATGACCGTATACCAAGAGAAGTGCTTTGGAAAGCGTTAGAAAAAAAGGGAGTACGGATTGCTTATATTAAAGCCATACAAGATATGTATGAGGGGGTAAAAACTAGTATAAGAACGCCTAGTGGTCAAACAAAGGATTTTTCTATAAAGATTGGACTACATCAGGGATCATCTCTGAGTCCTTATTTGTTCAACTTGATCTTAAATGTTTTGACGGAACATATTCAAGGGGAAATTCCGAAATGTATGCTCTTTGCGGATGATATAGTTCTTATAGCAGAGACAAGAGAAGAGGTTAATTGCAAACTTGAGTTATGGAGGAGGACATTGGAGTCGAAAGGTTTTCGTCTGAGTAGAAGTAAGACGAAATATTTATATTGTAAATTTGGTAAAGGACTATTTGACAATAATTTGGAAGTGAAATTGGGAGATCAAATTATACCTCAAAGTGGAAAAGTTTAGATATTTGGGAGCCATTATTCAAAATGATGGCGAAATCAGTGGAGATATTTCACATAGAATTCAAGCTGATGGTTTAATTGGAGAAAAGCTAAAGGAGTTATTTGCGACCGTAAGGTGCCTAATAAACTTAAAGGAAAGTTTTATCGCACTGCTATCAGACCGGCAATGTTATATAGTAGTGAATGCTGGGCTCTAACGGGACAACAAGAGTATAAAATTGGAGTAGCAGAGATGAGAATGTTACGATGGATGTGCGGACATACACGTAAAGATAAAATTCGAAATGAGCACGTACGCGAAAAAGTGAGGGTGGCACCTATTGAGGAAAAAATGGTAGAAAATGGTTGAGATGGTTTGGGCATGTACAAAGAAGACCAAGGGAGGCACCAGTGAGAAGAGTGGAACATAACTTTGAGTCCGATTAAGAGAGTAGAGGAAGGCCTAAGAGAACACTCTTAGAAGTTATTGAACGCGATATCTTAATTAATAATATTCCTAAAAGTTTGATAAATGATAGAGTACAATGGCGTCTTGCAATCCATATAGCCGATCCCACCTAGTGGGATAAAGGCTTGTTGTTGTTGTTGTTGTTGTATCACTTCACTCTTCCAAGCCCAAAATACACTACGATTAACTGTTGTATTGTAATCTTTACATCCTTTGAGTTTTCTCAATAATATTCTTAACATCAGCCCTTCATAGTAGCATCAGGGAATCAGTCAGCTGCGAACAATCAATGAACGGCACTTACAGTAACCAATAAAATAATTCTTCAGCTTCTGATTCCGGCTGCCGAGGACCCGATTTTGTGTAAAGAAATGTGTAAGCTATATTTAGTCTTTCAATATTTGGAAACTATTCCAGCAGCAGTTTGTTCTCTTGTGCTCAAACCATTTCCCTCATCAAAGGCTGAAGATTCTGCAGCAACAATCCGTAAATTTCATCAACTTGAGGATGAGATCTATCCCCAACAACAAACACGTGATTCTTGCCTCTTACTTCTATTTGACTATATCCAGGAATTCTCTTCACACTTCTCTCCCTCATTTTTTTCCTCACCTGAGCACACTCATCCCATTTCCCTTCTGCAGCATATGCGTTGGCCAATAGTGCATACCCCCCTGAGCTAGATGGCTGTAGCTCCAATAGCTTCCCACCTATAGAATTTGCCAACATAGCATCCCCGTGAAGCTTGCAAGCTCCAAGCAATGCCCCCAGTACAACTTCATCCCTCTCAGAAGGAGGCATTTTACACATTATATCCATTGCCTCATCCAATAATCCCGCTCTACCTAGAATATCCACAAGGCAGGCACAGTGCTCGGCCTTTGGGTTTAAATTATAAGCTTCCCTCATTGAATTAAACAATCTTCTACCTTTGTTCACTAGGCCAATATGACTACAAGCAGATAAGAGACCCACAAAGGTTATTGCGTCTGGAGTTGTCCCTGCTCTTAGCATGCAAGCAAACGCCTGTAGCGCATGGTAACCAAGTCCATGATTTGAGTAGGCGATTATCATTGCCGTCCATGAAACTGCATCCTTTGACTTTAATTGCTCAAAAGCAAGCCAAGCAGAGCCAAAATCCCCACTTTTGGAATACGTAGTAATGAGAGCATTAGTGAGCGAGGTGTTTTGTTCAAACCCAAGTCGTGTGACGTGAGCATGAGCTTGCATGAGTTCCAACATGCCATTAGAGGAAGTGACTACACTAGTCATAGTAGTTTCATCTGGTTCAAAACCAGATCTCAGCATCAAAGCAAAGTAGTTTAAGGCATTTCCATCATTGCTATTTCTTGTATAACCGTAAATCAACGTGTTCCAAGTCACAACATTCTTCTCTGGCATCAAAGTGAAAAGCTCATGAGCCTCATCCATGAGCTCTTCATCGACATACGCGGCAATCATAGCATTCCATGCAGCAATATCTTTATTAGGCATCTGATCAAAATACTTCCTTGCACTGTTAATCATCTTATTTCGTGCCAAACCTGAAACCATGATTGTCCAAGAAATAGCATTCCTTTGAGGCATTGAATCAAACAATTGTATAGCTTCGTTGACCCTATTAGAACTGAGACAACCTGAAATCATGATGTTCCAAGAATACAGATTTCTCTGGGGCATTTCGTGAAAGAGCTTATACGCTTCAATGAAATGGTCGTGCTCAAGATATGCCTTGATCATGGCTGTCCAAGCTATAGTATTCTTTTCAGGCATGAGGTCAAAGAAACTCCGAGCTTGATTCAAAAATCCATTTCGAGCATAACCCAAAACAATCGTAGTCCATGAGACCACGTTTTTCACTGGCATTTGATCAAAAAGACGCCGACCCTCCTCAACTTGTCCACTTTTAAAGTATCCAGAAATCAAACTAGTCCAAGAAAACTCATTTTTCTCAGTCATACCATCAAACACGTGACGAGCATCATCCAAACGACCAGCTTTGACGTATCCATCAATCATTGCGGATTCGACGACAATGTTTCTTTCAGGCATTGCCTTAAATAACAATTCAGCGCTAGATAGATCATTATTCTTCAAGTAAACCGTGACCATGGAGTTATAAGAAACATCATCTCGGTGTGTCATTTCGTCGAACAGATTCCTCGCTTCATTGACTCTGCCTAGACGACCCAGGCTCATTATCTCCAAATTACGCTTGCGCACCACTTCAAAACCTCTTGACCTCAGTTTTTGGATATTTAAACTCCCATTGTCAGAAATGTGAGACCAATTCGGTTTTCTGGTCAACTTTTTTCCTGGGTGAGTGGAAGTCGAAGCTCTGAAACACCCGCGAAAACAAGAAGCAACCCGAACTTGGAAATTGTACGGCTGTGGCAAGAGAGTGACATGGTGACAAAAGATCCAAAACAAAGAATTGCATCGGAATGTATGTCCAGAAGCATCACACTGTGAGAAGCTCAGTAATTCAGAAAGAGGGTTAAGTATTACACTATTACTTGCTCCACAGCTTACTCGTAGCTTCCTGGTGGCAGGGTAACCAACGGGCCTTTTTGTCTTCCTTATGAGTGATCGTCACACGTCAATGCGTCCTTCCATCCATCCAAATGGCCATTGATAAGTCCATCACCCACTAAATCTTTACCCTAAAGTCAAAGAGATTGATTTCTGCTTTTATATCATGCACGCAAGGCTTGAACTCTGGTCGAATCTTTCAACCTGGCATCAGATTTTCATATGACAATGCGTCCTGTTTATTTATTCATTTAGAGCCAAATTTATACAAGTGTAAGCTTATGGAAAACCTAATATTCTGCATTTATCTCTGTTTACCACCTTTTTTTTTCCCTTTAGACCCAAGCCCGAAATAGACCAAAAAATTTCTAAAAGGTGTGGAGTTAATTTCAAGAAAAATGGTAATCGAAGCACTTCTGGAAGTGAGAGGAAGAAGCAGCTGTAGAAGTGAGAGGAAATTTAGGGCTAAAAAATTGCACTTAGTGGCCCTGGTTTGCAGGAACTGCAACTCATGGAAAGAAACTACCACTTTACCCAGAAAATGGAGGCGAGACATATCAGAGACGACAATCTCCAATTCCGCTTAACATCTGAACCAACGCAAAGACAGAGTACATTACATACACTTCCTTCTACAAAATTCCATGTAGTTCTTCCAGGTCAGCATGCAAGCATGAGAGACAAGTCTCTTGCATTAAGTAGAGCAGCAGCATCGATAGAACAATAGCATTGCCGCTTTAGCGTTTTTCTTTTTGTTTTTCCGTGTTACAATTTTTGTAATTTATTTTAGAACAATACTAGTACCACGCAAGTCTGCTCCCATTATATTATTATTTCGTTTTCAGCCATCTTTATTTTTTATTTTATTTATTTTTAAGTATTTACATTTAGAGGAATTGTGATAAGAGATCCGGAACTCAACGTTTGATTTAGAAATCAAGTTTATTGCATCACTTAAAGAAAAACTTATCTAACATGCCCGCCCAACCAATTGAAAAACCAAATAGCATGACCAATATGATATAATATATTTCACTAGATTATATACTCTTTTTAGTCTTATTTATAAGGCAGAAAGAAAAAAATTTTTTTAGTCTATTTATAAGTCATATAATTAAATTTTCATCATAAATTTTTTTACTCTTAATTAAATGTTGGAGAGAGAAAATATATTATTGAAATATAATTTAATAGGGGTAAAGTTAAAAATTTATTAAATTTTAAAATAAAATTAATGAGTTTTAAAGTTTTCATTGATACTGATGAAACATGTTGAAAGTGACTTATAAATAGAACAAGAAAAATACGTAGACATACATGCTCCATTATGAACTAATTATAAAGGAAATTATTTACATGAGTTCCCTACTTGGCTACTTCCTCTAAAATATAGAATAAATATATATTATTTATATATATTTCTATTTTTTTTCTCTTCCTTAATTTGTTGTTGGTCTCATTCTAGTATTTCATAAGATTTTTTTTTAATTATTAATCGTTTATTCAATTAGACACTTTATTTTGGATATTAATTTTAGTGAAGGATAAATTTAAAAAGATAATTATAATTTTTTTTACAAGTCTAAAAATATCAACTACGTAGTTTTAATAATTACTCTATAACCAATAATTATTTAGTTCAATGGCATGAAACTCCTCCTTTGATGAAGGGGTTCTAGATTCTATACTGCCAATAGGTGGGGATTAAAATCTATTAGGTTAGATGGGCTTGGGTGTTTTTAATGGGGAGGGAGATAGATATCATGGGGGAAAAAAAAAATACTTCAAACACTTTTAAATAAAATTTTACATATTAATGAAGCTTATTAAATATACTTTACAATCTTACTTTTTTCAAATAAAGATATAAATTTTTAAAAATATTCTTTATTTAGTACTCTATTAATAAATAATATTGAAGAGAGATAATATATAGGAAGGTTAATATTGAAAAACTATCATTAATGAAACCTTATTTTTATTAAAATGTCTTATATTTTGAAACGCTAAATCTTTTTTAAAAATATTTTATAATTTGAGACGGAAGGATTACTCTATAAAGTACCTAAGTCTGCCAAAGAAGACATTTTTTCCCTACTTTTTTTGAAGCTATCAACAACAAAAATATTGAAAAATTAGTTTTATCAGAAAAATATTGAAATTAGTCATAAAATGATCGTGAAAATAAGATATGATCAATACTTTAAAATTAACATTCATGCTCTTTAATTTTTTTTGTTAGAAAATTGCAACTTTAGAAAGATAAATTAATTGCATATCTTTAAAAGTGTCGACAGCAATTTATTGCTATGATTTTTGAAAAAAAAAAAACAACTGAGTTTAATATACTTTTTGATTGAATTGCATATATTTGAATGTCAATTTCTATAAGTTTTGAGTCCCCGTGTGACTTTGTTCTCTAAATAATTGACTAAAAATGATTTAAACAGATAGATATAATAGTACATTTTTTTTATGAAACTCAGTTTAAGGAAACAAATGGGCCCGCATTCACGAGACGAAACTGGTAAATGACTGCCACATCTTTCTCCATTCTTGAACTTTCTGGTCTATCAGTTGCGTGACCCACTTCTCTACGTTTCCTTATGCTCTGTTTTTATCATTGTCAAAATGACAGCAACAAAGTAAAAATATATATTTATGAAACTTCTCCCAAATGACGCCATTTTCAAAAATATCAACCGTGGCACACAAGAAGCAGAAAGAAAGGGAAAATGAGAGAAGTAATGTGACTAACCTTTCGTTTCTAACTTAGGATTGAGGTGTTTTGTCTCTAAATTATTCTTTAAAGAATGTTCAGTATTTTAAATTATTTATTATAACAATTTTATTTTTAAAGTAATTTATATTCATATTTTTTTAATATTAAATATTTTAATGTTGACCATTAAATATATTGATAGTACTTAAATTTGATTAAAATATCACTTGTTATACAGATATGTTTGAAAATATGCTACATATTAATTATGTAGGGACGAAATTGCAATTTGACAAATAATTTAGGACTAGTATTCCTTTAAAAATTATTTAAAAGTAAATATATACCTTAACTTGAATTTACTTAAATATGATAAGTGGCATTTTTAATCACAATCAATTAGTATTTTAAACTGTCAATGTTAGATTATTTAACAGAAAACACATGACATGTTTTAATTATTTTAAAAATGAAATTATCATAATAAATAGTTTAAAATATTAGGTATTTTTTAGAAAATAATTTAAAAGAAAAATGCAGTTTAACCTTTTAGTTTATTATTATTATTATTATATCAAAAAAAAAAAATGATGACTCGCGAGTCGCGAGCATGGCCTCGCCGCAAATGTACCGGTGGGCGTTAAATTGATAACTACCCAATGCTGGTACCAGGTAGCCGACAATAGCTTCGGTCTAATCGGATATCCGCTTGTTCCTGCTGGGCTCTTCACTGATCACTATGGTATCTTCTGCTTCCCAATACCAACAATCCCTCGTTGTTAAATGCTGCCTGAGACAAAAATGGAGGGTACTGATTTTCTTTACTTTCTATTGTGTCATTAGGCAACTGAAAGCGGTGATAATAAGCTAAAGCTGTATTCGTATTGGAGGAGCTCTTGCGCCTTTCGAGTCCGAATTGCTCTCAACCTGAAAGGTACAGAGTTACAGACACACACAAGACTGTTGCTTCTCTAGTTTGGTTGGAATTCGTAAAATAAATGTCTCGTGGGGATAAAACCCACTTGCTCAAATCCTTTATCAGTTTAGTGTGTTTTGATTTCAGGGATTAAATATGAGTACAAAGCAGTCAATTTACTCAAGGGAGAACAATCTGACCCTGGTTTGTTTTTCTCTTTCTGTTTCATCACTCCAATTTTGTCCTTGACAATGAAAAATCATAGTAATATTATTGTAATCATTTGTGAGTTGAGGGAGCTGACAGATTAATGGGTGGGTGGGTTTTATTGTGGTTTAATTTGCTTTGTTGTCCTTTTGTTTTGTTTTGACATTTCAGATTTCCTGAAGCTTAATCCTGTCGGTTTCGTTCCTGTTCTCGTGGATGGGGACTTTGTGATTTCTGACTCTTATGCCATCATTATGGTGATTATTTGCTTTTTCTTTGGAGTTTGGAAATGCAAATTCTTTCTATAACTTCTTTCATTGCTCTAAAAAGTGTTTCTTTTTTATGGATTTAATATACATGCAGTATTTGGAGGATAAGTTTACTCAGCGTCCATTTCTGCCTCCTGATTTACAGAAAAGAACAATTAATTTCCAGGTATAAATTCCTTTATTTTGGGAAAAATTCACGAGTACCCCCCTGTACTTTGACACATCTTTCCAGGTGACAGATTACTTTATACTGCAGCAAACTTGGGAGCATCCTCTTCCTTCTGCCTTTTGGTAGATCTAATGGAGATTTGGGATAAAAGGGCGTTTAGCTTTGAGTCTCCAAACAAAATATTTAGGGTCAACGGTGAAATTATTAGGCTCCAAATCACATGAAATTGTTAGGGTTTGGAAACAAAATCAAATGATGGCTTATTACTTGAATCTTGGATTTGGATTAGAAGATTCGTCAATGGGAATTTGTAGAAGAATGAGGAGGGTCAGTTCTCTAGCTAGCTATAATACAGGGGTCTATTATCCAGGTTTCCAAGTACATGGTGGTTGTTTGCAAATGGATCAAAGTATAGTGTGTGTTTACGAATGGATCAGTAAATTGCATTTTAACTGGATGGTAACTGGGCAAACGGTTGTTGTTTATGAGAGTTGTAGTTTTAAAGCTATGATTTAGGCCCTGATAAATGTTCTCTTCTAATGCTGTGATCCATAGGTTGCGCATATCGTTTTCTCCAATATACAGCCCTTGCAAAACATAGGTGTATTGGTATGGTTAAGTCATTTTCTTTTCTTATGAGTTTATGATTCAATTTGCTACCTTTTCTGGATGCTAGAATAAATGTTATATGTTTACAGTTATCCTGCCTTTTCTTATTAACAGAATTATATTGCGGAAAAAGTTAGCCCTGATGAAAAGCTTCCTTGGGTCCAAAGTGTTATACGAAAAGGCTTCACTGGTGAGTTTTGCTCAGTTAAGAATAGAATCTGTTATCTCAAGCATTTAGGCCTTATCTGCCTAGTAATAGGTCATGTTAATTGTTGAAAACGTCATGGTTCAAGGACTTTATTTTAACATGGGCCATATGTATTTTACCCCTTTGACAGCAATATACCTTATTTGGTTTGTCCAGGAACATAATTCCTGGCTTAAGATGGTTTTAAGCTTAGTTTCATTTTAATGTGTTTCAGCAATTGAAAAACTATTGAAAGGCCACACAGGAAGATATGCTACTGGAGATGAAATTTTCCTGGTATGCATCTCTGCTCTATTTATTTACATGTCTTGATATTAATATGTTAACTATGCAATTTGCACTCACTCTAAACTAGAATTCTATTACCATTTAATTGAGAATAGATAAAGATAAGTTGATTGTCATCGTTTCTTCAGCAAAATAAATTAACATGATCGGCCTAAATGAAATCCTTGATATAGTTCCAAACAGAGACTTTTTTCTGGAAGTTTCTGTTCATAATATGATAAGAAAGTCACAACTCCCTTGCTCAATTCCAGTAGATGCAAGACTCTTCGGTAAAGATAGCACCTTTTATCCTTCTCGCAATATATGTTGTGGGTAATTCTGTCTTCTGGTTTGGTTTGTTTCATTCCCAAATCATTGATTGCAAATTATAATAGGATTAACTAGAGCCATGTGGAGTAGCTTTATACCTTTTGAGTTTAATTTTGGACTTTATGTTGCATGACTATATACAACTTGACTATCATTTGCAGGCAGATGTGTTTTTAGCACCTCAATTACATGCTGCAACAAGGTTCAATGTTGACATGGTAATGTTCTGTACGTTGCTGCATTTATACCCTTTTTTTTTGGCCAAGAGGGGTATGGTGGTATCAAGCTGGGTTGTATTACTCTGTTATGATTCTGCCTCTTTGATTTAGTGGTGCAGGATGTGGTCTTCCTTATCATTCTTATAATTTAACATAAAGGATAGTTTATTTCAAAATTGGACACCTGGTAGGGCTTCACATCTGTAATGAAATCAATGTTTTAAATATTTAATTAGTCATATGCCATTCAATCAATTGAAAAGGTGGTGAAGGGGCTATGGTTATGAGTACGGTCCAGATTAAAGCCTTTTCTGTGTTATCAGCTCACAATTTGTAATATCCAAAAGCAGAGCAATCAATTCGATTATTTTTCCCGCATTTTCTTTTTCATCTGTTTATTTGATCTTTTTATAGGAATTGACCTTTATATACTTTAGTTTTCCTTTAGGAGTAACCCTTGGAACCAAAAAAAAAAAAAGGAAGAAGAAGTAAAATACCTGATCTTCGTGCTTTCTAAAATCTTTGATCGTATACAGAATTGCATGGATTAAATTCATCTACTCAAACTTCATCATGCATGCAGGCAGAGTTCCCCATTCTAGCAAGATTGAGGGAAGCCTACAACGAGGTCCCGGCAATCCGAGAGGCTTCGCCGGAGAACCAACCAGATGCTCCTCCTCAAGGAACCTAGTCGAACCTATAATGTGGAAGTATCAAGTGCTGGTCCCTGAAGCACTTGAGGTAATTCTGAGTAAACCATGCATGTTACTTCCTATGATTGCGAGTTGCTTGAAGCCAACAGTCTATTTTACATTGATTAAGCTTGCATTCATTGTTTGGTCCCCATTAATTTTTTTTCCCCAATGTTTATCTTTTATTGATCACAGAAATAGAGCTCTTTAAATTGCTGGAGGATCGTTTAGTCAGCTTCAGGTTAAATCTTCCACAAGCGCGTGACATGCCTTTTATGGCAATAAGGTTGTAATGTGATTATGTAGAATTCTATTTATATGAAATAAGTAATAAGCTTTTTTTTTTTTTACATGTACTTTTATGAAACATCTTGTTAGTCGATATTTAAAAATGTTGACGTAGATTTGAATGTCTGCTTTCTTTTGATATGGTTGTGGTATTTTGCCATCCCCCCGCCCTTTGAAACCAACAAAGTAATCGTATTTCTTTCTCTAACTATGTAGTTTCACTGTTATATCTTAATCAATCTTTTGGGTTCAATTTCGTCTCATATCTTTCAAAATAATTCAACGTTTTTTTCAAGTATAATCGAAGATGACTTCTAAACAAAAAAGGACATATTTGGAATGAAAAAAAAGCCCTAGAAAGCGAAAATCCATGCACAATTAGAGGACGAAAACGTGTTGAGTTTTGACCAATATATAGATATGGACTAAATGAAGAGTTATAAACAACGTTGAACAATATATTAGTTCTGCATGATGCCCAAATGTCGATTAGACTTACGGGCAACAGACATGAAGAGTATATTTGGATAGCATGACTCATCATGTTCGGCTTTGGCATGCTAAGATGCTTGCTTCCTCTTCCTTTCGCCTCCTCCCTTGTTTTTCATATTACTAGCAGTGATGAGTTTATAGTCAGAGCAAGACATTTCATTCATTTTCCCAAATCTTCTTCCATAGAAGTCCCATATTTCAGACCTGGCCAACAAGAATTAAGTTAAAAAAACTTCAAGTTTAAGTGAATTTGACTTGTTATGGAAAAAAGTCACATATCAAATAGATTTGGATCGAAGAAGAGATATATAAATGGAAAAAACAAATTTATAAATTCAATGTCTTAAAGTTTTAGGTTAAAATATCATGTGTTCTCTTGAAACTCCTGGGCCTAAGAAGTAGCATTTGAGCTAGGTTTTAGTAAAGTGACCTAATATGAAAATGATGGGAAAAAGTTTTAGAATTTTTGGAAGCTCATGACAGGCTGACAGAAAGGGGAGCATGTTTGTGTGTGGTCAATGAACTCACACATTAACTTGTTATGAGTTGAAAAAATATATACGTGAAAAGGATATATAAACTCAATATCTTACAATTTTGGGTTAAGATATGATGTCATATTGGTTTATACGTGTCTTCTTGGAACTTGGTGGGCTCAACTGTCTTCTTTTTGTTCCTTCAGTACTGTACAGCTTTAATCTAATTTCCTTGATTAAAAAACATGACACATATGTGGGTGTCTTTGCTCCATTTCAACCACCTTATGTTTTTTTTAAAAAAACTGTTTTTGCTTTCGTTCTAGTTACTTACCAGTATGCCAGGAACTGGTACGGCTCATACTTTCCATAAATTTCTTCAACATCTCTCTGAACTGTTTGAGTTGTGGACTTTCTTGAATGAACCTGCATTACTGCATCTCATAAATTTCAAGAGCATTTCACAAATGGACAAAGAAAACATGAAATGTTTGAAACTAACACCTGTTTCAAATGCCTAATCGTTTCAGAATCGGTTGGAATGACATGGTAATAACCCATGCACATGAGAACATTGGAACGAGTAAAAGGTCCAAATCCCTCAATTTCTTTCAAATGGCCTGCTAGCTGGTTATAGCTTAATAAGCTTGCATCTTTAGAAAGTTCTTCAAATAGTCCTAACTGAATTCTACCTTCAATAATAGCTCGAGCAAGTTTTACTATACGACCTGCTCTATAACCAAGTTTGCATCGTTTTGCCAGAAAACTCTCATCAAGGCTTGCTAGCTCTTCTGGGGATGGAAAATTCCCAATACCCCCCATAGCAAAATAGCCTCTTCCATTAGAGAACCCACAAAATGATTCATCGTCTGCACTTAACTCCTTTGAATTTTCACAAGCTTTGCAATGCTGACATAGATTTTCATCTGTATCGATTGGAGGCAAGTTTGAGTTCAAACTTGTCGCAAGGACATGGTCTTCTTGCAAATTTCCTTCTGCTTCTAATTCTAATTTCTTCTTAAGCAACTTGCCTTTTGAGGACAAACCAGAGGTCCTACTCCTATGCTTTTTCCTGCTTTCTTTTGTCGCTGGTGTCCTTGGAATGAAGTTCTCATTCTCAACTTTTTGGCTGCTAGAGAAGGAGGATACATTTTGCAGTTCCAGCTGAAGCTCACAAAGTGCCTGAGCCATGCTCAAAGTCCTCGACCATCTGAAATATTCTGTTTGTTGTTGAGAAATCATTATTGGAGTAGAAGGGGAAGCGGGAGAGTTTCTATTCCATTATTTAGAAGTTTGATAAAAAGAAGAGTAGTGATTTTCTCAGATTTAAATCCCCTGAAATTAGAAGTTCGTAAAGTGTTTCTCAAGTTAGAAAGATAGAGAAGAGGTAACTTCCATGTAGACTCTCACTTCTGGGATCACAATCTCTTTCCATCTCATTTCAACTTCAAGATAGAGTTATACATTGGTAACGGCATCTGTGCTTTGTAATTAGAATAAAGGGAACAAATAAGAACCCCAGAAGCAAGGATGTTAAGTAAAATGACTTGAAGAATAAATTTTCTTGCTCCCAAGTTCATATATTCGTCATGTAGGCATTATGTCAATCATTTGGTGTGCCAGTTACCAAGTTAGAGACTCAAGAGTCAGCAGACAGATTATGAAAGACAGTAATAGACTCACTGGCAATTGCAGAGGAGGATGCACTTGACCATATCCTCAAATAATGTGGGAGACCTAAACACTCTTCCAGTAAAGCTTTTATTCTGATCATCATCACCATAGTTGTGCATGTTTCTAAACTCTCTCACAGCTTTCTCTTCGGTCTCTGACAGACGCAGCATTCTTGACACCTGAGCCTGGTCACATTAGGGAAAATGGTGATAATTTTGATAAATGAATATTTTCACTTAAAATAAGCGTCAAACCCTAAACCCAAGTCGGAATCAAAATTTTCCAATGAAATACAAAGAGTAACAAATTCAAAGAATTTCTGAACAGAAACTTATTTTCAGTATGTGTGTGTGTTTCCATTTTCAAGAGCATCGATCGATGGTGATACCAGCAACGCGTGTTGTTGTTGAGGAGAGACGGAGCAGGTGCCATGAACTCGAAGAGTGAGCGAACTGGGACGATGCGATGGCTGAGAAATGGTGACGATGACGGATCCAGAGGAAGAGCGATGATCGGAAAAAGGAAGACGGAGAGGGCGCGTGAGAGTGTTGGAGAGAGGGTCCCAATAGTTAGGAGCCATCATGAAAAGGCCATGGCTGCACACTGCTTTCTCTAATTGAAACGCCTCAGCTGATATCCCCAGTAGAAGCTCCAACTCGCACCACTGCCATGGCCGATCACTCGCCATGTTTCCTTCCTCTTGGACGTCGTTTTTGACTCTTCTGGTATTGCCCCAGTTACATGAGAGCTTCTCCTTCTCTTTCGTTACAGTGTCACTTTAGTGACCAGTTTTCCATGAAGCCATGCCATGTCCCAGCTGCACACAAATAGAGCCGTTAGTCGCTACTTGTGCTTGCTTGCCAGCAGCCTGGCCAAGCAAGTAGCAACTCAAACCTATTTGTTTCCTTATTTATTTATTGTTGGTTTAATTTAAGAAAACAAAACGTGGACTAAATTAGGGACAACATTTTCACAATAAATACTCTCTTTATTTAAAAATATAAGTCATTTTTAATTAAATTTTACTCCCAATAAAGTAATTATCTACTTTTAAATTAATCATATTTTTTTATATTTATCCCTTTTAAACACCTTATAATAAATATAAAGTCATTATTAATGGGAATACTTTAAAAAAAAATAATGACATTTTAAAAGATTAAAAATGCCTTATATTTTTTAGTATTCAACTCCTCAAAAAATATTTTTTATTTTTTAACACAATTACATGCTTGACACTTGAATTCAATATCATATTAAGCTAGTATAACTTTTTATTAATTGAGCTATGTATTTGTTGGTTCCTCAAAAATAATTCTAAATATGTTGGACCATGAATTATATCTTCCAATCCATCATCATCATGGAATCTTAAGCTGCGCAATGCGCATGAAAACTGCTTTGAAGGGAATCCAAATCCAAATTCTAGATGCATGACTTCTCTTGGGCCTCGTCATTTTCTGGGCCCGAAGTTGCCAACATTAGTTTGATGGTCATGGAAAGATCTCGTTTGAGCTAATTGAGCTTAGTGTGTGTTCCATCTTCAGATTATTAAAAGTTTTTTTGGTAAAAATTTATTTAGCCAAAGTCAATCTAGTAAATATAAATTGCAGTAGTGAAATTTTTGTATCAATACATTTTTTTAAAAATTAATTTAATAAATTAATAATTATTTGAATTAATGATAATTTGTATTTTTAAAAATGCATTTTGAATGTGAGTATATAATAATAAAAAATGATATTGATTTATGATAATTTATAATTTTTTAATATAAATATAATATATTAAAAATATTTAAAAATTTGGAAAAAAAATTAAAATAACATAAATTTTAATATGTTAAATAATAAGAATAAAAAATATAAAGTTTAATATTGAAAAAAATATGTAATAAATAATTCAACAGTCGTTAATATTGAATGGCATCCCTTATAAATAGGATTAAAAATATTATTCTTTCTCTTTTTCATATACAAAAGATTTATAAAATTGCCTCTTCATATAATCTATTTGGCCATGTAGCTATTATACCAAATTCAAATTCTAATAAGACAAAGCATGTAATGAGTATTGCAAGTGAATAAAGGCAATATAGTAAATTTAAAAACTCAACATCTAAAAGTCAGTTTGAAAAATTTTAAAAAATTAAATTCTCAAATTCACATCTAATAATTTTTTCAACATGCATTCAACAAGTCATTTTGCTCAATCATAAAATTCTCAAACAACATTTTACATTTTAAAAGTGTAAAAGTACATTTCAAAGGTCAAAAATCATGCATTCAAATGGGCCCTTAATCTATGCTCAAAGCTAACCTCCATTCAAAGTTTTTATAAAAAAGTATATTCTAGGGAAAAAGCAGTATAAATACACAGTCAACATTGTGTATGTGCTTTTGGGACAAACATTTATTTTAATACAAGATCATAAAAAATTTTGCAGATATAACCATTAATTCACGTCAGAGCATAAAAAGTTTTTATATTCAAGAGTAGCTTTATGAAAATCATGATGTCTAAATTATTGTTTTAAGCATGTCCGGGCTAAGTCTTAGTAGAGTTAACAAGAAGATCAAATTCAAATATGCTAATAAGCATTAAGACACTACAAAATTAAGATCAATTTGAGTTATTAAATAGAATTAAATGATCAAAATTAAAGTTATAATAATATAAATTCTCATAATTAGCGTTATAAATGTAAATGATGTGGTCTCTTTATACTCCCCATCCTTTTTATAAGGTTCTATTTTCTCAAGATTAATAAAATTAGTTATAATTAATTAAATGTCAAATATTTTTGCAATTTTCCAAAATACCCTATCAAACGAGAGCTACTGTTTATGCAAACAGTAAAAGAGATAAGAGTATTTTTAACAATGTTTCATTAAAATTTATAAGGGGTTTGCATTTTCGTTGGCGGAAGTGCCTATATTTTTTGACTGTACCTCGAATAAAATTTCTTTTAATGAAAGGATATTTATGAATAATAAAAAATTTATAAGAGATCTTGTATTAAGAATTAATAGGTAGGGTTTTATAAATAAAATTAAAGAACTCAAAGGAATTAGTTCATTACAACTCAGGGAATAAAGTTCAAATTTTTATTGAAAAAGATGTCACATTTAATATTGGACCCAGTTTTGAACAATATTACTAGGAGGACATATATGCACAATTTTTTTTTTAAAAAAGAATTAGAGGGTGAAAAGAAGAAAAAAAGAAAAAACTAGAAAAAATTTGTAATGCACACAAAAGAAGAAGAGGAAGTCGCGTACATGGAACGGCCAGATCAGGATGGTTATACATAGCTTAATGTAATTTGAGCAATCTGGAAGCAGTGTACAATGACTAATGAGCTTCTTATCTTTTTGGTCAATACCTTCCTCAGTAGGGAAGACAACCTTGAGAACGACACAACGCGCTTACCTTTCTCCATGTCTCAGTGTCTGCTCTACTTTCCCGTAATATCTGCGTTTGACTTTACGTGATCGATGCCTTTTTTATCTTTTTTTGGAAGACTCAACCTTCAAGGTCTTCCAAGGACAAGACGCGCCCTGTTTTTTTGCAGCTCATGTGGAACATCAGCTTTGATATTTCTCTCATTTATGTTGTCTTCTATGTATATAATATATATATGGTTCTGGAATTTCATTGTCATTCTCTTATCTTTTTATCTTGATGATTTAGAAATGTATGGCTATTGTTAGTTTCTTATACTCGATGAATAGATTGCAGTAGTCTTATCCAAGGTTTTTAAACAACTAGCTTTGGCTCTACTAAGCATTAACTATCCCTTCTTGTCAATCAAGAGAAGTTAGAACTGATTCAATTAAGCAAAAAGAATTTCACTTTAGGTCATGTTTGCTCACTGCAGTACAATTAAATGAATGGATTGAGAAAATAAAAATAATAATAAAATGATCAAAAGGATGAGTAAGCACATTCATAAGAGGGAGGTTAGTTCATGAAGTTAGGGATCATAATTCATGAGATTTTTTGAAGGTGTAATGATTCCCACATTTATAGTATATATTAATGAGTTTTATTATACTTAGCATGAGGGAAATGGTGATTTAGTTAATTTTTATTTTTATTTTTCTAATCTATTATATTATATTCTATTTTAGTAAACAAATGTGATCTTAATTATTGTCCTAGTAGTAAGAGTTAAATCCAATCATAATACTAATCAATGACCACGAGAGCATATTTATATTAGTCAAGGACTAATAAATTCTAAAATTTTACTGTAATTCCTTGATCCTTGAATGATATTAATTTTTTAATATGAAATGACCAAATTACCCTTAAAATATAAACTAATTAAAAAAACACATTCACTGGCATTGGTATTGGCCGCTGAAGCTTAGGCATTGTGGCACATGTTTTTTTTTTTAAAAAAAAATTGGCAACAGTGGTTCAAGGAAGTTTGATCCCATAACCCTTTAATTATCTAAAAAGCTTAGTTGTTTGAGCTTATTTAATAATATATATCCCAAAAAGAAAAATGTTCTAACCAAGTTTTTAAACCACTTCCATTTATAACATATGTAGCAAAAAAACATGTTAATTTCAAAATGACACTTGTTATTTCACTAATGCTACTTGTTAATCAAATATGGTTAATTACAAATTAGAAATTTTAAAACTTCATGCATTTTACTTATTAAAGTTTGAATATAGCACAAATGGTTGTGAATGGATATTTGTTGATGAATAACTAACACTTATATAGCTAAACCCATCCTATTAGCTTTTTGTTAAAAATTAAATGAATTGTTAATTTCAAACAAAAAGTTGATAAAGTTCAAATGGATATTGATTGATGAAGGACTGATACTTTTACTATTAAGCTTATCCTATCTGCTTTTCTAACTTATTAAAGCTTGAATGAATTGTTGTTAATTTTGAACGAGTTATTGTGAAAACCTGAATGGATACTTATTGATGAAAGATTAACACTTGTATAATTAAGCCCATATTCTATCAGCTTTTTATTAAAATTCGAATGAATTGTTAATGTTGAATGAATTGTTGTTAAAGTTTGAATAAATATTTATCAATGAAGAACTAATACTTGTACAATTAAATACATCCTATTTATTTTCCTAACTTGTTAAGCCCAAATGAATTGTTGTTAACTTTGAATTCATTATTGTGAACCTGAATAGTATAAGTGTTAGTCCTTCATTAATGATTGTTAATTTTGAATGAGTTGTTGTTAAAAATCGAATGAATACTTGTTGATGAAGGGCTAACACTTGTATAATTAAACTCATCATATCTATTTTTTTTCTAAATTGTTAAATATTGAATGGATTGTTATTAATCTCATCAACAAGTCTCCATTTGAGCTTTCACACCAGAATATCCAAAATTAACAATTGTCAATTCACGTTTTAATAAGTTATAAGAATAGATACGATAGGCTTAATTTTACAAGTGTTAATCCTTCATTAATAAGGATCTATTTAAGTTTTCACTATAATCAATTTAAAATTAACAACAATCTATTTGAGTTTAATAAGTTAAAAAAACGGATAGGACGAGTTTAATATACAAGTATTAGTCCTTAATCAATAACTATTTATTTAGTTTTTAATAATAACTCATTTGAAATTAATAATTGTTAATAAAGAACTAACACTTATACTATTCGAGATTTCACAACAATGGATTGGAAATTAACAACAATACATTTGGGTTTAACAAGTTAGAAAAATGGATAGGATGAGTTCAATTATATAAGTATTAGTCTTTTATTAATAAGTATTCATTTAGGCTTTAACAACAACTCACTCGACATTAACAACAATTCATTTGGGTTTTAAAAGTTAATAGGATACGAGCTTAATTATACAAGTGTTA